CCCTGGTGGCGCAGCCGGTTAAAGCACAGCACAAAGAAGCTTAAGCCACTTCCGCATGAGTTCGATCCCCGCCTGCCCCAAAGGAGATCCACATGGCGAGGTCGACCTCTCTTGACCTGCCCGCTGCTCCCCTTAGCAGTGTACTTCGTAGATCTGCCTGTTCTGTACCCCACTCTGTCTCTGGTGAATCCTCTCATCCTCTGCATCACTGGCCTGTACCCCAGTTCTGTACGAATAAATAAATAAATCTTTTAAAAAAAAATTTCATCCCAAATAAAAATCAGATATTGTTATCACCACCCTTATAGGATTGTACAAAGTTAAGTACAACAATATAGTATGGTGTTTAGAGTGCTGTCTGACAGATAATAGATGCTTAGTAAATTTAGTTATTTAATTGCTTTATTAATTTGTGTGACATGTTTATTCACATCTACTATGCACTATTAAATAGTGAGAAAGACAAAAAAAATAGTGAGCAAGACAGAAAAGGCCCCTACTTTTGAGACAGAAAGTGTTCTCTAATCATTTTATCTTGGTATTGCTGTCATGTTTGTATTTATATACTCTTTCGGTGAACTCCACTCAGTATTTCCTGAGGTGCCATGCTTTTGTGTTTTAAATGAGAGGCTATGGAGGCACTGATACAGCTTTCACCTTTCTGTTAAGCCTCTATACTGGGTCTTTTACTTGGTTTGAGAACTTAATATTCTTGGTTTGAGACCTCAACAATGAATTAACCCAGGAGAACTCATTTGTTTCCAAGTATATTATAGTTCTTTGCTGGGATTCTAAACTGGTTGAAAAGACGGTCAACAGCTATTTGGAGAAAAAAGACCAATGATTTGGGAATAATAGTGAAAAGAAATTAATGATTTAATTAAATGCTAAATTTTAATCTTGTAATTAACAGTGATTGTATTATAATTTACAGGAATTTATGAATGATAAGGTTTGGACAACTTAGGAATTTCATAAGAGAAAGTAGAAACTGAAATAAAATTTGGAAAGATTTGCATGGCTAGAAAAGATTAGGAAAAGTTTCTGGGAGATTGGAACAATATATGGAAGTTGTAATGAAGATAAACATTATACTCTATTCATTTTATGTTGCATGAATAGTACATAATGGGACCCCATAAATAATTATATAAATGGGAGTCTCAGGAGACAAGGTTTTGATGAGAAAGATACACATTTTGAAGAAAAAACCAACAGGATTTACTTACAGGAAAATTGTCGAGCCTTGACAGTTTCAGGGTGATTTTTTGACCCCAGGCCCTGCCTAGTATTCATCATCAAAGAATCCGTGCCAGGTTCAGCCACAGTTCTTTACCCTGTCATACCAATGTTCTTATGATGGCCAGTATTTTAATGATCCCTCTGCTGTCCTTAGATGAAATTCATGACTAATTCATGTTTGCATACATGATTTTGAAAATAGCAATATAATGCTTTACTGTAATTTAAAGGAAATTTCAAAGAAAGGAGTTAATGTTAAATATGTCAATATATAAAAGCCCAGACACGAGCACAGTAAGAATTAATGGAGTAGTCAGATGTACAGGCACTAATCCAGATCCATAAAGCTGCCTTGTGTTAATAACTTACAGAGCACAGGCGGCTTGCCCTTAAGATGTGATTCACCAAAATGGTGGTGACACTTGGTAAAGTTCCAAACAGGACAAAGTACCAGACTTCCCTAAGTTATTCAATAGTTCCTTTCCCAGGAGCTCACAACAGAGTATATAAAAGTATATAAAAACTATATAAAACTATTTTGCTATGCAATTGAAACCGAATTAAGCTCTATGCTCAAGAAAATGTAAATAGGTTTCATCTACAAAAATGGCTGTTAGCACTTTGAAAAGTCTTGCAGGATGTGGGATTGCTTTTCATTGTACAAGATTGAGGCAATACTGGCCATCTTATATCTCCGGCTCCCAGTCATTAGATGCCAGAGAAACCCCCATGTCTGTGACAACCAAGAATACCTACACATCCATAGTCTCCCCTAGAGCAGCACCATCCTTCCTTCCTTCCTGGTTGCTGGTTCTCAGGTTTCAGCCATGTGATTCATGGTGGTGACAGACTAGAAAGCTGGGAAGGGGAGAGCCTCTGATATGTCAGCCCAGAAAAGTGTAGGCTGCAGTATTTTCTTCTACACTCAGGGAGAGTCTTCAATTTCTTATATACTTCAAATTTGGCTTAGCCTTCTTGGTAACAATTTCAAGTTCTGAGCCCAGGTAGAATGAAAAAAAAAAAAAGCTTTTATTTTACTTTATTTTAGAAATAAATATAAACTCTTTCTGGATTTTCTTCCCTAAGAACTAACGAACCCACTCTCATTCCCTGCCATCTCTTTTGGCTCATAGGTAGGAATGCACTTTGTCTCAAGAGTTCATGGGCAATCTAGTTCTAACATGAATCCTTGAAACAATTTTGAAACTAATTCTTGTTTGCTTTAAATTATAGGTCTGATCTCATTCCAATTTTTTTAGTTTTGTACAGCATGCAATAATGTCTAATCCATCTTGGCACTTGCATTTTGCACTACTGGAGTTATTGGGCAGATGTATCTGATTGTATAAGATTAGCACTTTGCATATTACCTTCTGCTTAGGAGACTTAAAACAAACAATTCAAAAGAGTCAGATTCCCCAAGAGTACTTTTCTAGATGTGTTTGAACCTTAGATTTTCATTTAAACATGATGCTATAAACACAGCCCTCTTTCACAAATATAAATGTGCTGTATTTAATTTGTAAGTAGTTGTTTGACCCAAAGATATTGAGTACACTTAGATGCATACCAACTTATGATATTCTGAGAACATAAGTCTGTTTTCAGCTTTACATCAGGAAAAAACTTACCAATCTGTCAATCAAATACATAGTAGTCACAGGACCAGTTAGGTACTGTGAGGAAATCGGAAATAAATTAGATTTTTCACACTACCTCAGTCTTTGATCAGTAGAGGTGACAACATTTCATGTGTAGTATTAGTAAGTGGTGAACCATTGGAAAGTAAGATGGTCTACCAATGCAGCGGGCTAGGCATAAAATAGTACTCTACTATAAAGAAAGTTTCTTGGAGGGAGTGGAATTTTTAATTTGATGACCTTAAAAATCCATTAAAAATTTGACAGCTGGGCCCTCCCTGGTGGAGCAGTAGGTTAAAGCGCAGCACTGCAAAAGCTGAAAGCCGCAGCCACTTTAGCACGAGTTTAATCCCCAGCACTGGAGTTGGCCCACATGGCGCAGGAGACCTCTCCTGGCCTGCCCACTGCTCCCCTCAGCAGTACTTTGTCAGTCTACCTATTGTGCTCCCCACTCTGTCTCTGGTGAATCCTCTCACCGCCCCTGCACCTCTGGCCTGTACCCCAGTGCTGTATGCATAAATAAATAAATCTTAAACTTGAATTTTGAGGAATAGCTTTCTGAGTTGAAGTAAGTATGAGCAGAACTTGCAGATTTCTTGACCTCACTTAGTTATATACATTCTCAGTTTATTGTCTGGGTATAATTAAGTGACTTTTGGGTAATTGATAATAATTTCAATTTCATGAAACTTGGTTACCTTTCTGAAAACATCTCTAGGAGCTAGATCTAAGCTTTGCTTTTTGCCATTGAAGAATTCATTTTTATGGCTCTGATCCTGGGATACTACCCCCATATTTCAAAACTCTAGAATATATCTGTAACTACATTTGCAGTAAAATACAGTCAAATTAAGACAGATCTACTAACAACACCATAGAGTGTTCCGTTGATGAAGAAAGTGTTCTTGTGACCTGATGTTGACCACATATTGAACTTGAGGATAACACCAAACCAAACAGAGCACCCCATCTTTCTGGGGTCCCCTTGGCCTTTCCAACTAGACCATCTGTTTCTTGGGAATTGAGTTTATTGCTCTGCTCCCTGATGCTGGTCCAAACTTTGTGTCTATCTCCCAGCCCTCTGCCCTCTGCCAGTATACCCTGCCTGTATGCTGGGAGCTTGACGAGCAGCAAGGTAGTTAACATAACATCTTGGCCAGAAAACATGTTTGTCTCTTGAAGACATTTCTGCATCCCTGTTTGCACTGCAGCATTATTCACTTTAGCCAAACCATGGAAACAACTTAAGAACCTATAAGAGTTGATAAATAGATAAAGAAATATATATATTTGTTGCCCATATTGGTGTTTTTTGTTGCTTCAAAATTACTGACATTTAAATATCTATATTTGAATATATCAATTTGCAGCTAAATCTTTATTTTGACCAAATTGTCATGCTTATCAACCTGTGTGTATCTAGTCTCATACTTTCCAGTCATGCCTAAGCTAATATCCCTGCCCCTGCCTCCAGCTTCCATCCTGGTACCTGTAGCTTTGGTTAAAATTCAGACTGAAATCTAGCGGTGGCTAAGAAATAGCTGTGATGATGTCAAAAGGAACCAAAATAGAACCTACAAAAAAATCTTTACCTTTAGCTCTGGTTGTCAACACTTATGCACCAAAATGTGAAACAGTCCCTCTAAGAGACATCTTTCAAAAGAAAATCAAATTTGTTGTACTAAATTATAGCATTACATCTCTACAATCCAGAACCATTCAGAAATTAAATTTTGAATTTTGCCTCCTCAGCAAACCCAGCCAGGCTCACCACAGATCAGTTCACTAATAGGACAAAGTAATTTTTTTTAAAAGATTTTATTTATTTGTGCACACAGAACTGGGTACAGGCCAGAGGTGCAGGGGCAGTGAGAGGATTTATCAGAGACAGAATGGGGTGCAGAACAGGCAGATCGATGAAGTACACTGCTGAGGGGAGCAGTGGGCTGGTCACCTCTGGGGCGGGGATCGAACTCATGCTGAAGTGGCTTTAGCTTCTTAGTGTTGTGCTTTAACCTGCTGCGCCACCAGGGAGGGCCAGATAAAGTATGTCTTACCATTATGCTTTGTTTTGTTTTTAAAGATAGCCATTTAGAGTGTACTCTTTTGTTGCAACAGGACAGCTGGGAAGTGGTGGAAGGACTGAGGGGAGAGATGAATTACACTCAGGAGCCACCAGTTCAGAAAGGATTTTTGCTGAAAAAGAGGAAATGGCCCTTGAAAGGCTGGCACAAGGTAAGATACAGGCTTTGGCTTCTTTTATGCACTCACCCCACTCCTCTCAGTGCCTACAATTAAATATAATTCTAGGTGCTAATATTTAATTTGAAGTTGAAAAGTCAGACCTGTGGAAAGGTATTTAAATGAACTACCTTAAGGAATTAATACTTTTTTCCCCACAGAGATTCTTCTATCTGGACAAAGGGATCTTGAAATATGCCAAGAGCCAAACTGATGTAAGTCATCTTATTCCCACATGTTGCTGAAGAGTCCTGAAGGGCTAATTGCCGTAAGCTTGCGTGTGGTTGTGCATGTTGTGCATGACAGCCTTTCTCTCAAATGGAGACCATGAGGGGTAATAGTTTCTGCACATGGAGCAGTGGGGTCTACTCCTCTCTGTCCCAGTTCTGGGTAGGAAGTGGCTCTGTTTACTCCCAAGTGGATGTGATGGAGGGGGTCACCTCTCAATACCATTTGGGTATACAGGAGTCTGTTCTCTTAGGGTTGTGCTGAGGGGTTATCTAAGTGGAAAAATAATACATCTTTGCATGAAACAATACAGGAGGCCAGTGTCTCTCCATAGTGATTGGGGGCTCGATGGAAGAGCCCTCGGTGGCGGTGAGGCTTCCCTTTGCATGAACACTAGGCTGACATTCTTTGAGGGCTCTGAATATTAGCCCTGCCATTTACCTGGGGTCCTTTCTCACTTGGCACCTCTCTCCGCCTTCCTCCCTCTCCTTGCCTTCCATAATACACATCTAGTAAGATAGCAGGTGGAAAACTTGGCCTGGTGCTTGACCTTCAGTAACCTTCACTTCTTGCCCCTTGTCCTCTTTTTAAATCACTTCTGAATTAATGGAGACACCAGCAGCCAATTCAGTGGGAGGCAGTACGGTGTTAAGGTGGATTTGCTGCTGTGGAGTTTGTCTGTGGCACTTATTTCTGGCTTCCTTAGTGTGGTGTAAACTGCTTGTTACATGTCCTATATACCACAGTCTCTTCATCTGTCAAATGGAGAAAGTGCTTCCTGCCTCACAGGTTAGTGAAGATAATGCGCATAACGTTCTGCCCTCAGTCAGTACTGGCTCATGCTCAGTGCTCAGTAAATCATGGTTCTTACACTTGCTGGTGATGGAAGGCGAGGGTGAAGGAAGGACTATCGAGGATGCTGCTGCTGCTTTTAAACCCTGGTTCTCAAGCAGTCCTCGTGTGTCCCTGCAGATAGAGCGAGAGAAGCTGCATGGCTGCATCGATGTCGGCCTCTCGGTGATGTCTGTGAAGAAGTCCTCAAAATGCATCGACCTGGATACTGAGGAGCACATCTACCACCTGAAGGTGAGCCACTTCCTGGGCTGCACCCGGTTCATTCCTGCTGCACTGTTGTTGTTGCTTTTGAGTATTCAAAAACATCCAGCTAAGACGTTGATCTTCACTAGGAAAATACTCTTTTTTTTTTAAAGGTTTATTTATTTATTTGGTACAGAACTGGGGTACAGGCAAGAGGTCCAGAGATACAGGGGCAGTGAGAGGATTCATCAGAGACAGAGTAGGGAACAGAACAGGCAAATCGATGAAGTACACCGCTGAGAGAAGCAGGAGAGGTCTGCCGCGCCATGTGGTCACCTTCAGGGCCGGGATTGAACTGGCACTGAAGCGGCTGTGGCTGGCTTGCAGTGCTGTGCCTTAAACCTCTGCACCACCAGGGAGGGCCCGGAAAGTACTTTTTATGGACGCTGTTGATATTTGGATGGGACCTTTCTTTACCTTGTAGGACCTTCTCTTACTCCTCTGAAACTTAGCGTCCTTATCCCTGCCTTTTTCCCCTAAATGCCCCTCTCTGTGACTAGGGCAGTAATCAAGGATGAATCCTACCCCTTCTCTCAGATTGAGAGAAGTTTCTTTACTGAAGAAACTTTTACCATGTTACCTGAAGTAGGATATAATTTTTAGTCAGCCTGAAAGTTTGGCTAATTTTATAGAAGTCATTTAAAAATGCCCCAGTATAGTGAGTAACAGAAATTTTTCCCCCTGACATCCAATCTCCAAGTAGAACCTCTCAAAACTGCCTAACTATTCTCTTCTGTGCTCTCTTGCAAGTGACATAAAGTGCTCTATGTAAGTGTTTCAAGCCCAGCTCTAGTTCACATCTTTACCTGGCTGGATCAGGTGCCCTTGGCAAATTACTTAATCCCCAAAGTCTTAGTTTTCTCACTGCCCTCCCCTCCCCAAAGGGAGTCATTATGGTGCTCATCTTGCCTGGCTGCTATAGAAGACTTGGCATAATGCCCAGCCACAGTAAGCTCATAAATTCAGCTATTGTGTATAATAATTAGGTGGTACCCAAATGTTGGAAATAATTTTAGAAAATGTTAAGATTTTTTTCTTTTTCTTTTTTAAAGATTGATTTAGTTATGCATACAGAACTGGGGTACAGAACATATGTACGGGGGTTAGAGGATTCACCAGAGACAGAGTAGGGAGCAGAACAGGAAAGCTGACTGAACTACACTGCTGAGGGGAGCAGAGGGTTAGCAGGAGAGGTCTGCTGTGCCATGTGGGTCACCTCCCTCGTCAGGAGTCAAGCTCCTGCTGCAGTGGCTACAGACAGCCTCTGCATGACCAGGGCCCAAGATTGTTTTAACTTGGGATTTTGAGAGTGGGGGTTGAAGGATACGGGGGGGGGTGAGATATGGGTACATGTGTTTGTTTATTTTTGTTTTATTGAGGTAGTATTGGTTTACAAGACTATATGATTTAGGAGTACAGGTCTACACCTCCTCCAATGTATGTCACCACACCATGCCACCACCAAGCACCCATAGTCCCTTAGTGTAGACCACTGCGTCCCATCTCTGCCTTGTTCCCACACTCTGTCTCCCTCCTCTTCTAGTAGCCTCAACTCTACTGTCATGTTTCTAGAGTTTTTTCAGTTCCTTTGTCTTATTTCTCAATATTGTAAATGTGAATGGAATATTCAGTGTTTCTTCTTCGAATGTATTTCATTTACTGTAATCACCTCTATCCATCCATGTTGTCACAAATAGCAAGATTTCATCTTTGTTGGGAGCTGTGTAGTATTCCAGTGTGTGTGTGTGTGTGTGTGTGTGTGTGTGTGTGTGTGTGTGTGTAAATCCACTACTCTGGTTGTTGTAAATAGTGCGGCAGTGAACACAGGAATGATATATGCCTTCGAATTAGTTATTTTTACATTCTGTGGGTACATGGATAGAGTAGAATTGCTGTGTCAAGTGTTAGATCTTTTTTAATATTTTGAGAAACCTTTATGCTTTTTTCCATAGGGTATATACATATTCTACATTCCTACCACAGTGCATGAAGGTTTCTTTTTCTCCCTACCCTAGCCAACAGTTGTTGTTTCTGTTATTTTTTATATATATAGACCATTCTCACAAGACATATTCAGAAAATAATAGGTTCTCATTTCTCCATCATTCTAGTTTATATAATAAAAGTAATTTATTATTTGTAATTTTGAAAAAACTTAAAAGCCTTAAAATGCACTGAATACAAATATAGTGATAAACACAGTTTAGTATATCTCTGTATTGATCCATTTCAAGTTCTGCTTATGTTTTTTGTTCATTCATTTGAATATCAACTACAGTTGTTAGTGGAGTTTCTTGTAGTTATATAAGACTCCTGGCAAATAGCTTCAGGGTCAGACTGTTTTTTAATATCGACCATCCAGCTCCACTGTTATTGTTAAAATGTGGAATATCAGCAGAGAGAGGTTAAGTGGCCGGCCACTATGGTCCTGTAACTACTCCAGGGACTGGAGCAAAAACCTGGTCAGTTATTTAATAAAATGTTTTATTCCCCTATCTTGTTTAACTCAATAAAAAAAATAAATTAAGATGAATGCTTCGGGCACTGATTCTTAAGGGCCTCAGAGAGTAGATCAGTGCAAAAGATGATACAAGATTCCTGTAAAATTCCCACCAACCACATCTGGGAAATGAAATACATTTCAGAACATAATTTAGGGAAGACAAATAGATGTAGTCTGTTTTGTGTTGCCTCTTCCTGTAAATGACACATTCAGTAGCATCAGTAAGTGTTGTAAGTCTTCTGTGAACTTCTAATCAATACAAGAAATATAAGAGCCAACCTAATATTTTCTAAATGAATGATGTAGCTGACATTTATTTCTACATCCTTGCTCTCAACTTTGGCATTAGTAAAGGTTTTAACAGGATTGGCCTGGATTTTTCTTCTTGGAAGTTAACCAGCCATGTGTCCCTTTGGGTTACTTTAAATTGCCACTTTATGAATCTCTAAGTTCTAAAATATAAATATCTACAATTTTCATTTAGAAAATATTAATTTGCTCTCTTACACACACAAATATTGACTATTAAGGAATACTGGCACTGTGAGAGTACTTTATATACATTTTAGTACTTTATGAACATTTGCAATATTTTGTAATTAAAGTTACTAATTACAAACATTATTCTTGATGGAAATCAGACCTTTGCAGTCATTCATTTATGGAGAGATTGGCGCGCACTCTCTCTCTCTGTGTTGGAAAAAATCCTGGAAATCACCAATAATATTTTATCAGATTTTTTCTAGTTTGAGAATGGGAGCAATATTCTTTTAAATAACCTTAACATTCATTTACATATATTCCTCAGCTATGTATTCTTTGTCAGAGAAGATTAACGGGTTAAATATTTTAGGAAGAATTTACTAATTCGTTCTAGTTGAGAGAATATTCAGATACTGAAGAATCTGAATTATAAAAGAGTTTAAGAAAGAAAAATGATGCCAGTAGTTTCAAAAAGGTAGGAGAAATGGGGACAAGAGACAATTTGAAATGCTGCAAGAGACAGATAAATGTAAATTTTAGTTTGTTACTTGCTTTCTTAAAAATAGCATAGCAGCACATGGGTGATTTGGTGATGGGAAACCCAAGGGGATTGCAACTAAGATGGAAAAATGTACAAAAAATTTGGAAAAATAAACTATTATAAAATTAAAAAAAAGAAGAAATAGCATAGCAACTGGACCCTTTCATAGAAAGCCTAAATAACAACTTAAGACTATTTTTTTATAAAGATTTATTTATTTAACATACAGAACTGGGGTACAGGCCAGAGGTGTACGGCCAGTGAGAGGATTCAACAGAGACAGAGTAGGGAGCAGAACAGGTGGACTGATGAAGTACACTGCTGAGGGGAGCAGTGGGCAGGTCAGGAGAGGTGTGCCACACCGTGTGGGTCATCTCCAGTGTGGGGATCAAACTCATGCTGAAGTGGCTTTAGTTTCTTAGTGCTGTGCTTTAGCCCTCTGTCCCATAAAGACTATTTTTATTCTCCATCTCCTCCTCAAATTTGTTCCCATACACCACATATGTGTAAATTAAGTTGGTAAAATATTTCTACATATGCCAGGATGAAGAGAGAGGGTGTTAGGGATGCCCAAACTTTAATGAATAATTGTTCTTTTCAGTGAATGATGCTCTTGTTTCCTTCTTTCAATTTAACACAACTCAGGTCAAGTCAGAAGAAGTCTTTGATGAATGGGTGTCCAAACTCCGCCACCACAGAATGTACCGGCAGAATGAAATTGCCATGTTTCCACATGATGTTAGTCACTTTTATCCAGGACCTGCAGTCACAGATGGTGCATCTGGGGCCCTGGACTCCATTTCAAACAGGAAGGTAACTATCTGTCAATATTGAACCTAACAGAAAGTGATGGCTTTGTGTTGTGGGGATCCCCTGGGAAGGCTGTGTCTGAAAAAGGGATGGTTTATAGAAAGAGCAAGGTAAGTTTTAGTTGCTATTTAGTGTCTTTGCCCAGTCGGTAAGAACCAGGGCCAAAGGAGCATCTGTAGCTGTAACTGTAGCTGAAAAATAACAGGTGAGGAGGAATGTAACACTCCTGACTAGTCCAGTTTTCCCTTGGCCAGCAAGACTGGTTTTCTTATCTGGATGTCACATGCAGTAGGTATATTTATAGCAATGCAGATTGCAGACAGTTTCCCAACATTTGCATTGTTATTTTGCTATGATTATCATTTGACATAAGTGGAAGTTACGAGCTGCGGTACCAGGCCTCATAGCAGGGTATAGCTGAGTTGCAGTGACAGCCAGAGGCTTTAGGGTCTCCAGTAGAAATGTCTTGCTAGAAACTTCTCCTTTGTTATAGCCAGATGGCTCCTTTAGCCACTAGTCTGTTTTGTTACCCTTTACCATAAAGTGTTCTCCCTGGGCTGTTTTCACTTATAATGCACTTTTGTCATCTGTGAAATAGCGCAGCAGCATATCAAAGCAGAATTCATTTCAAACGGGAAGCAATTTGTCATTTTCTTGTGGTGGTGAGACACGAGTTCCATTATGGCTACAGTCTTCAGAGGACATGGAAAAATGCTCGAAAGGTAGAATGACTTGAAATCTCTGCTTCTTTCTGTCACAGCTCATGGGTTATACTGGTTTGGTGTGGTATACACTCCTGCACATATTTTTATTTATTAAGTTTGCACTTGTGATTAACAAAGATTCTCCTTGCTAACCTTCATGCCTTCACCTGGATGTGCAGGCAGACATATTTCCTTTTTGTTGTTAAATTTCTGATGCCTGATTTCCACATAAGGCTGCTAAATAAATCGCAATATCTGGGGGTGAGGTCTGCTCAGCTCTCAATTTTTTCAGATGTCAAAAGTGATTCTGATGCATATCCAAGATTCAGAATCACTGCTCTAGAGGTGAGTGGATGAAGCAAATGGAGATCCCCACGAAATAAATGTTCTTTATCTTGGCTATGCATTAGAATCACCAAGAGAGCATTTAAATGCAAGAATACCCATGCTGGCCCCTGTCCCAAAAATATTCTTTAAATTGCTCTGGAGTGGATCCATGACATCAATAAATTTCTAAAGTTCCCCAAAGGATTCTGATAGAGAGCGGGATTGAGAAATTTTACCATAAGGAAACACCACATTCTCAGCCATAACTACCTAAGGTCACCCAGAGAACTGAAAGCAAAGAAAATAGCCATTGGGTCTGGGGGTGTTCTGATTTAATTTTCTGGGGTGGGATGTGACATACATCATTTTTTAAATCCCCCCAGTTGATTTTAAAGTATTGCCATGACTATGCTATAGACACTATAAGTAGAAGTTGGTAGCTTTGAAGATTTTATTTTCTGCTGTGGAATGCAGATTTTACACACATGGGATTATATAGCTTTCACCTTCCTGATAAATTTCACTCATGAGCTTCATTTTGAGACAGTAATCCTTGAAGTCTATGTTATCTTTGCACTGGCCCAACCCAGGCACTCACTGGAAATATAAATTTTCAGGCTCACAGATGGTCTGAATAAGAAAGGATGGGTTCCAGTGATCACTTGTGCATTGTAACAAGTTCTCTAAGTAACTCTAGTGCAACCAAAGTTGAGAGCCATTATCTGCAGGCAGTCAGGCCCTGATTCTGCAGCAGAAACGACCACTGTCACCAGTAAACAGCAAAATGAGGACTATCTTTTGAGTTAGGAACTGGTCTGACAGTTCTCTTAGGTTCCCTCAGGTCACTGCAGGTCCATGACCAATAAATTTATCCTTAGAAACTAGGACAGCCTCCATTTTAGTTCTGCTCATTTAACTTGCACTGGGTTCTTATAGTAGATAGTGATAGCCCATTATTGCAAGATTAGAAAGAGCAATGATGCCTATAACTAGTTTATTTAGTACCAATAAATAATGTGATTGGCACTCCAGTATCCCAGCCCATGTAACCCACAACTATCCTAAGTTAGGTGTATGATTATTCCCACTTTCCAGAGGGGGAAACTGAGTACAAACAAATTGTGCAGTTTGACCCAGCTTTGCAGTATGTTAAGTACATTCAAATGGAGGCAGCCTGGTTCTCCAGATACATGACAGTCTACTTACAAATTTCCTATTAAAAAAGAAATTAAGGCCCTCCCTGGTGGTGCAGCAGGTTAAAGCACAGCACTGAAAAGCTAAAGCTACTTCCACATGAGTTCAATTCCCGTCTGCCCCGGAGGTGACCACATGGCGTGGCAGACCTCTCCTGACCTGCCCGCTGTTCCCCTCAGCAGTGTACTTCGTAGATCTGCCTGTTCTGCTCCCCACTCTGTCTCTGGTGAAGCCTCTCGCCACCCCTGAGCCTCTGGCCTGTACTCCAGTTCTGTATGAACAAATAAATAAATCTTTAAAAAAAAATAAATTAAACCTTCCTATCCTTACAACTGTAAGTAAAATAGATAGAAAAGAAAAATAGTTGGCCCTAGCATAGGAAGCTTGAGTACCAAGGTAAATGTTTATGAAATTTTTTTTTGGTTTTCTTCCACAGACCTGGCCCACTGTCATGCCTACTTGGTGGAAATGAGCCAGCTCCTACAAAGTATGGATGTCTTGCATCGCACATACTCAGCTCCAGCCATCAATGCCATTCAGGTTAGCCAGGGCCTTCTTCTGCTTACATTCTAACACCCTTCTGCTTTGGTTTCCCTTTCCCATCTTTTCACTAGCACTAGGATGTTATCTGGTTGGTGGCTTCAGCCATTTGCAAGGGGATGGAGGTGGTCACTTCGCTGTGCATTTATCCTACTGGTTTGGTGGATCTTACTGTCTATGCTCTCTTTCCTATTTTGAAACAAAGGGTGGAGCTTTTGAGAGTCCCAAAAAGGAAAAAAGATCACACAGAAGGTGGCGGTCCAGAGCTATTGGCAAAGATGCTAAAGGAACCCTGCAGGTAACCGTTGCTTTCCCCAACGGGTTGGCTTCTTCACTGGCCCTGCTCTGCACGTCAAATGTGGGTGCTACTTGTACTCAAATAAGAGAAGAGAAAAAATAAATGTAGTTATTCTCTCAAATACCTACCAGTTCAGAGAGGTTATAGCTTAGATTTTCTGGGTAGTAGAAAAAGCATGTAACAGATATTGGAGAAGGGAAAATTGACTGCAGCCATTTCTCAAAAGTTGATTTCCCTTCTTTAGTGCTTAGTCTGCATCTGCCATCTTCCGTGCTTGGGTGTGTACTTGGTTTGTGGCTGCTGTGGTTGCGTGCGCTGCCCTATCTCTTCTGCTGGGGGTCAGTGGGTCCGTCATCTCTCAGAGCCAGCTGGCCAGAAGCCCTGGGGCAGGTCATCATGGAGCACCCTCTGCCTCCTGTCTCCAGCCTCCCAATCCTGTCCAGTGGCTGCTGATTTCCTCAGTGCACAGCTGACCCGGAGGCCAAGATAAGCAGCTGGAGCATTGTCTATTAAATTGTGATATTATTTGAATCAAATAAATCAGAAACTTACAGATAAATCATATGCTGTCCTCTTTGGCTCAAAACATTTTATGAGTTGAACTTAAAGACTTTCAAAATAGTGATTTGTGTTCAAACATGTGAGAAGTCTGCTTTGAAGAAGCACCAGGTACAAATAAAGAAAATATTTTTAAACCTGTCCACTGTTGACAACCTGGAAACTGGGTGATTCTTGCCAGGAGGTGGGAAGTGGGTATAAAGGAGGAAAAGTCTGGCAGCATTCATTGTTAAGTTCAACCGATAACTTGAACGCCTCTATCATATCCATAAGAACTTGTGATTTTTTTCACCCATTTTTTTATTTTGCAAGAAACCAATGTAAATTGCTTTGGAAAGTGTTTTCCTGGATTTTCACCTTTGTTTGTTTGTTTGTTTGTTTGTTTGTTTAAGTTATTGCTCAATGAAAAGAAACTTAACTATAAAGTGTTTGTCTCTTACTACTTTTTAAACTTAGAACCAAGTAAAGGTGCCACACAATATGTACCTGAAAATAAGTATCTCCTTTTAATTTCACTTCAGGTTCCTAAGCCTTTTTCTGGCCCAGTAAGACTGCATTCCTCCAATCCTAATTTGTCAACACTTGATTTTGGAGAAGAGAAAAATTATTCTGATGGCTCAGAAACCTCATCAGAGTTTTCTAAAATGCAAGAAGATCTGTGTCATATTGCCCATAAAGGTAAATGAGTTTTCTTTCTTACTAATGTGTCAAGTAGAATTATGAAATGCATGTCTGAGTATAGAATATTCTTGGATAAGGAAATTTAGTTCATTTTCGGCTTTTTTAAGTGGAATAATATATTAGGTAGCCTCCTGAAATTGCCTTTTTGCACTCAACATAATGTCTTTGAGACCCATCACATTACTATGATTATCAGTTGTTTTTATTGTTGAGTAGTATTCTATTTCTGGCCCACAGTGTTTAACTATTCATTTGTGAAGGTCACTGGGGTTGTTCCGGTCTTTGGCAATATAAAACAAAGTATGTTCTCAACATTGTATACATACTTTCATGTGCACTTAACTTTTCATTTCTCTGGAATGAATGCCCAGGAATGTGAATGTTGAGTTGTATGATAAGTACATACTTAGTTTTATAAGAAATTGCCAGGCTGTTTTCCAGAATGGCTGGATTATCTGGCATTTCCACCCACAATGTAAGAAAGAGTCAGTTTCTTTATATCCTCACCAGCATTTGGTATTGTCTATTTTGGGGGCTATCTTAATAGGTGCATAGTAATATTTAGTTGTAACTTCAACTTGCATTTTTGTAATGGCTAATGATGCCTAAACATATTTTTCTAACTTTTGAAATGATAAACAATGCTAGAATCGCTATCTTCATGTGGATACAAGTTCCTCAAATTGGAATTGCTAGATAAGGAGATTAAAAATGTAGTTGAGGCCATCCCTGGTGGTGCACCGTGTTAAAGCACTGCCCTGAGAAGCTAAAGCCACTTCCTCATGAGTTCTATCCCCGCCTGCCCAGAGGTGACCACATGGCGCGTCAGACCTCTCCTGACCCACCCACTCCTCCCCTCAGCAGTGTACTTCGTTGATCTGCCTGTTCTGCTCCCCACTCTGTCTCTGGTGAAGCCTCTCGCCGCCCTTGAGCCTCTGGCCTGTACCCTAGTTCTGTATGCACAAATAAATAAATCTTTTAAAAAAAAATGTAGTTGAAACAAAATACTATTTTGCCCTTCAAAAAATACTGATTTATATCCCCACTGGCAGCATATGAGCCACTCAGCTTCTAATGCTCTCGTTCTCTTTCCCAAGGGCTTACAGGGCACTTCTTGCCAACACACTCCTTACTATCAGGGCCTAAAATAAAATATTCATGTGACAAATTTCCAAAATCTTAATAAAGATCTTTATTAAAGATTGTGTTTACACAAGGGGTAGGATCAGGAAATACAAGTGGTAAAATTGCACTGACTTACTTACACTCACATACTCAAGTGAGAGCATGCAAAACCAATGAAGTCTGAATGACAACAGTAGATTAACTCTTCCATAGTGAAGATGTTACACTGCAGGAAATTGGATATAAGTACCCAGGACTTCTCTGTACTATTTTTGCAACTTCCTGTGTGTCGATAACAATTTCAAAATAAAAAGGCTTTAAAAATTAGAAATAACCTAAATGCCCAATAATAGATGTTTGTGTATTTTTCTTAAATGTATTATGATCATATAACAGAATACTCAGCAGCCACATTAGCCAATAATGGTAATGGTCACCTATGTAAACACATAGCTGTCACATCAGGTATTTACTAATATGTCCATGCATTGTTTTATTTAATTCTAGCAGTGGACCATGGGGTAGATATTATTGTTATCACCATTGAACAGATAAGAAGCCTGAGACACAGAAGAGATCCTTGAGTGTCATGTGGTAGAAGTGGCCAACCTAAGACTTGAGTCCTAGCCTGTCTGACCCAGACTGTGTTTCTCACCTGGCATCTCTCTGCCCTTGCAGATGACTTGACCAGAGATATTTTAGAAAGATATTGTCAGCATATCAATGGATACAGAGATCAGGCCACAAAACAGCATACAAGTATGAATCTATTTTTTTGAAAAATAAATTTTATGTCTATTGGGCACATGTAAACATACTAAAAAGTCAGCGAGGATATACTCTAGTGATGGAGTCTGGAGTTATAAATATTATCTTCTTTCTGCTATTTTAAAATGTTCCATGTTTGTCTTTTTTTGAAGGAGAAATTGGGCTAATTCCCCTTTCACTTAATTGATTCCTTTAGCTCTTATTTCCCTTACCCTAAAATCTAAAATCTAAAGCATGTTGATTATGAGGTTAGTTTTGAGGAAACCATTTCATGCTTTTTAAATTTTACTTCAAGCTCTTGTCCTGACTATTATTAGGATTTTATCAGAATTCTGCAATGTCATTGTATGATCCACCTGTAAAATGGGAGAAATTGTGTGCCCTGTTCCTAAAAAACTCTTCAAACAACTCCTGTGTGTTCTCTAGCATTGAAAGGTCAATTATAACTAGGGCATTACATTTTCTGTGAAATTCCTATGGAGAAGTTATTAACTTTTTAATAATATAAACAGTCATTTCTAAAATGAGGAGGTAGTACCTCCTTGCAGAAGGGAATTTTACCTACATTGAAGAAACTGCTTCCTCAGCAGAACAGATTTTGCCATATTGAGTTGATCCAGTCGATTCAGTCCCCTACAGAGGGCTCAACCTTGTCAAAAAAATCTATAATGGGCCTCAGCCAGCTGCTCTGTATTTTGGACTTTGTGAAAAACAGCTGGCTGTACAGCTGCCACCTTACCTAGATTAGGTTAAGGTTCGTGCTGCAAGAAGTGTCCAGGTGTACTTGTCAATACCAGCCTATGCCCTGCGGCTTATAATGCCAGGTTCCGCAGGGAATCTTAACAAGCTGCATTTCAGTCCTGTGCTTTCAAAATACACTTGCAGAGACTGAAACTTACCCTCTTCCTGTTGCAAGGAGTGCCTTTACGTGGGCTGTAATTCAAAGGCCTCGTGGAAGAGAGTTCTCACGTTCACAGTAGGTCCTGTGACTGCGTATGTCCTCACTTCCGTTGTTCAGAATCTTGACCTTTCTTCCTGTGTAAGCCTGATGCAGTCACCTGCAGTTTCCAGAGCACTTGTTGGCAGCATTGCTCTCTCATCTAGTGACTGTGATTCCAGAGCAATTGACCATAGGCAACAATTCCACTGATGCTGTAACTTAGTCTATACTACCTCCTTTTTCTTCAATTTGTTAAATGTATCTCAATGTTAACTATTTTATAAGAACTCAGATCAAGTGGCAGCAAGCAAGACCTGCCCTAATTTTAAAAACCCTGTTACATGTTATAGACTATAAAGTTCACTTTTTGATATATCATTGGACACATTCCCAAACTTAGTCTGAACTTGTTTGTGTCTGAACTACTGTGTATGTTGAAACACATAGAAGCTAAAAAAAAATGTACTGAAATATGAAAGTTGCAAGTAATTTTCATTGTAGATGTTAGCTTTTACATTTCCCAAAATGTATTTCATGGAACACTTTGCCCATACAACGCTTTAAAAAGTGAAAATTATTTCATGATTAAAATGTTTGGGAGCACTGCAGTAAGTCCCACTTTAGACTTACATGGAAACAATAAGTATCCAACGCCCTAAGAAGTCCTATAGCCAGGAGTTGTTAGCTTTAACTACTTGAGGTTCAGTGCTATTTGGGAAACGTCCTCCCACCCCCACTCCTTCTCTAATAGCTGTTAACACCCTGGAACTAAAGCTCCTGAAAAATACACTTCAGAAGACACTGGCACTAATAAACATTTTTGCAGCTAACCCTCTATACAGACTTAACAGAAGACAAGCTAGAAGTTCTAGACACCTGTTACTGATGGTAGAATTATGTTCTTATTGGCTAACCTCTTTGGGCCTCAGTTGCCTTATCTGTTAAGTGTCCTAAAGTAGTTCTGATTCCCTTGGTCCTCGAATTCTGTAATTCTCTTTCATGAAAGACATAATTCTTTCATAGTTCTTACTGCTTAAAAGAAGGCCTTAGAAGAGGGTGTTCTGTTGGTAAAAGAGCTAAACATGACTGACTATGGTGGGCAGTCTTGATGGAAAAACAAGGGCAGGGCCAGGATCCTGGTTCCTCAAATGGAAATGGATATTTAAGTTCTAACATGGATGGGGAAAAAAATGAGGTTTTTATGGATACTTCTCCTGCTCTCCAGAAGGCATTTTGGCAAGAGAATGCACAATCACAAATGAGAAAGTTATGAGTAAAACAAAATTTAACTCCATTCCATTATTTGGTACATTTTTTGTTCCTGAATTCTTTTTCTATGTTGGGCTTTAATTGTTGAGTGCTCATTTTCTGAAGCTGATGGGAGCATAAAATAAAAAGCAAAGTATGTCACAATGACATCACTGGCATAGATTAAAAGCTAAGTGGTATATATGAATTTTGAAAAGCTAAGACATTATTTATCAAACATATTTTAGAATTCAGCTTAATATCTGCTGAGCCATTGTACTTATGCAAATTATCAATAAATCAGTAGAATGATTTAATTAAATTGCCTAGTACAAATTATCTAACGTATCTAAATCAAAGAGCCATTTGGATAGAAGATGGGTTGGAAGTATTTTAAAATTTCATCCTGTGAGGTTTGAAAATTAGAGAAAGCAGATTACGGAAGATCAAATCATCCTGGATATTTTAAGTATGCTAACATTTTGAAGGAAATTCACAAAATGTGGCTTTCACTAAAAAGAAGAAAAGGAAAAATAAATCCTGCTGTGGGTTAGGTGCTATTCAAAAGCAGGTTTTCTTACTGTTTCCTAAAGCACTCTTGAGATATAGGCATTATTCACACATACAGATGTGGAAACTGAGAATCTGTCCAAGATCTAAATGGAAACTTTAAGTGCTAAAGGTAGGATGTTGGCTCATGTTGCTTTAAGACAAAAGTTCTTTTCCTTCTACCATATTGCCTGTGTAGAGCCTGTGTCTCCAATAGTCATTACTATCTTCCTCAAGACTGTACTCTTCTGATGCTAATAAAGTGCTAGAGAAGAAGCATATTAAAAAGTAGAGCTCAGGTAAATTAAAAGTATAGGTATCCTTCTGTGCCAGTTTTCAACCTCTAAATATATTACCTGTGCTCTCA